ATTTGGGGTGGGAAACCTCACCTGGAGGGTACCCCTGGGATTTGGGGTGGGCTGGAGGAGGAGGAGGAGAAGGAGGATGAGAGCCCTTGGTGGGGTTGGTGACATCACCTGGAGGGTCACCCCTGGGATTTGGGGTGGGCTGGAGGAGGAGGAGAAGCCTTAGTGGGGTTGGTGACATCACCTGGGGGGTCACCCCTGGGATTTGGGGTGGGAAACCTCACCTGGAGGGTACCCCTGGGATTTGGGGTGGGCTGGAGGAGGAGGAGGAGAAGGAGGATGAGAGCCCTTGGTGGGGTTGGTGACATCACCTGGAGGGTCACCCCTGGGATTTGGGGTGGGCTGGAGGAGGAGGAGAAGCCTTAGTGGCCTTAGTGGGGTTGGTGACATCACCTGGGGGGTCACCCCTGGGATTTGGGGTGGGAAACCTCACCTGGAGGGTACCCCTGGGATTTGGGGTGGGCTGGAGGAGGAGGAGGAGGAGGAGGATGAGAGCCCTTGGTAGGGTTGGTGACATCACCTGGGGGGTCATTCCTGGGATTTGGGGTGCTCTGGAGGAGGAGGAGGGTGACAGGGACACCGGGTGACATGGGGGGGTGACAGGGACACCAGGTCACCCCATATTGGGTCTGGAGCCTGTCAGGAAGTGATCCCACCAAGCTGTAGCTGCAAGAGGTGACACCTGAGGGTGACAGGGGGAGGTGACAAGTTCAGAGTCTGGGACCGACCAGCCCCAGACCCTTTTGGGATCGGGGTGAGGGTGTGGAGGGTTTGGGGTCTGGGGTTGATCACACGGGCTTGTACCTACAAGAGGTGACACCTGAGGGTGACAGGGGGACAGAGGTTCAGTGTCACCAATGTCTGGGACCAGCTGTCCCTTTTGGGATGGGGATGTTGAGGGTTTGGGGTCACCCCATGTGGGGTCAGGGGTTGGTCACAGGGGGTTGTAGCTCCGAGAGGTGACACCTGAGGGTGACAGGGAGAGGTGACAAGTTCAGAGTCTGGGACCAACCACCTCCCAAACCTCAGTGACCCCTTTTGGGATTGGGGTGAGGGTGTGGAGGTTTTGGGGTGACCCCATGTGGGGTCAGGGATTGGTCACATGAGGTTGTAGCTCCAAAATGTGACACCTGAGGACATGAGGGTGACAGGAGGAGGTGACAAGTTCAGTGTCACCAATGTCTGGGACCAGCTGTCCCTTTTGGGATCGGGGTGTTGAGGGTTTGGGATCACCCCGTGTGGGGTCAGGGGTTGGTCACTCCTTGTTGTAGCTCCAAGAGGTGACACCTGAGGGTGACAAGTTCAGTGTCACCAATTTGTGGGACCAGTTGCCCCTTTTGGGATCGGGGTGAGGGTGTGGAGGTTTTGGGGTCACCCCGTGTGGGGTCAGGGGTTGGTCACAGGGGGTTGTAGCTCCAAGAGGTGACACCTGAGGGTGACAAGTTCGGTGTCACCAATTTGTGGGACCAGTTGCCCTTTTTGGGATCGGGATGAGGGTGTTGAGGGTTTGGGATCACCCCATATGGGGTCAGGGGTTGGTCACTCCTTGCTGTACCTACCAGAGGTGACACCTGAGGACATGAGGGTGACAGGGGGAGGTGACAAGTTCAGTGTCACCAATCTGTGGGACCAGTTGCCCCTTTTGGGATTGGGGTGTGGAGGTTTTGGGGTCAGGGGTTGGTCACTCCTTGTTGTAGCTCCAAGAGGTGACACCTGAGGGTGACAAGTTCAGTGTCACCAATTTGTGGGACCAGTTGCCCCTTTTGGGATCGGGGTGAGGGCATGGAGGTTTTGGGGTCACCCCATGTGGGGTCAGGGGTTGGTCACAGGGGTTGTAGCTCCAAGAGGTGACACCTGAGGGTGACAGGGGGAGGTGACACGTTCAGAGTCTGGGACCAACCACCCCCAGGCCCTTTTTGGGATCGGGGTGTTGAGGGTTTGGGATCACCCCATGTGGGGTCAGGGGTTGGTCACTCCTCGCTGTACCTACCAGAGGTGACACCTGAGGACATGAGGGTGACAGGGAGAGGTGACAAGTTCAGTGTCACCAATTTGTGGGACTGGTTACCCCTTTTGGGATCGGGGTGAGGGTGTGGAGGTTTTGGGATCACCCCGTGTGGGGTCAGGGGTTGGTCACAGGGGGTTGTAGCTCCAAGAGGTGACACCTGAGGGTGACAAGTTCAGTGTCACCAATTAGTGGGACCAGTTGCCCCTTTTGGGATCGGGGTGAGGGCGTTGAGGGTTTGGGGTCACTCCTTGCCGTCCCTCCCAGAGGCGACCCCTCAGGCCCTGCCTGGGGGGGGTGACAGGACACCCCCTTTGTCCCTTTTTGGGGGGTCTCCAGCTCAGCCCCCCCCGATCATTCGGGGTGTTGGGACCGGGACCATTTTGGGGCTGTCGGGATTTCGGGATTTCGGGATTTCGGGCACTGAACTCTCAATAGACACGAAAGCCATATATATATTTTTCTTTTTTTCCGGAGCTCTGGAGGTGCCGGGGGGTGGGGAGGGGCGAGTTTTGGGGGCGGGGCAGAGGCCCGGGCCGTGTGTTGTGCCGTGTTCTTTGTCTGTAAATAAAAACCGACAGAAAAACCGACAAAAAACAAACAAAAACACAAAAAAAAAGGGGACAAAACCGAGGAGCTCGATGTGACTTTATAACCTTTCTAATATCCTGTGCTGATCTCGGACAATAATCCTATAAATATATCTGGG